ACTGCGGTTCAAGTCCCAGACCTGGTGGCTTAAATTCACGCTGGGTGCATGTGTGTGCATGCCCAAGATCCCGAGAGGAAAATGGAGGAGATGGGATTGCCGAGTGACCATCCACCCTGGGGAGGGATTTCTCGCTTTTTGTCTCTCTGTCAATCTGGCGAGTGCATGCGACCTATAGCAAAAACCTCTCCCAAAAAAATAAAAAAGTTCTCCCGTGGCTCGCACCTCTGGAAGGAGGAAGGCCCAGCTACACAGCCTGTCAATCACCGCCCCACCCCCATCCCCGGCACCGCGAGACCATCCACACCAAGCCGCTTGCCTGTACTGGGACACCCGGCTCCTTCCTGCCTCCTGGCCTCTCACACCATGTTCCCTGCATCATGGCCTCTCCCCGCCTCCGCTCCCTGAGGGGCTCCTCTCTGCCCGACATGGCCTCATGCCAGACACCCCTTCCTCATGTCCACGAAATAGTTCCTGTCCCCCAGGCAGTGGGCAGCCTCACCCCGGGCTCTCCCCCATCACACCACAGTCTGTCCACGTCGGTTAGACCAGACGAGACCCAGCCCGATCTCAGCCCAGGGCCAGCGAGACCGGAGGCTGTCTGGTGGGTGAGGGAGTGGTGACCGCAAGGATGGGTCTTCGGACAGAGCAACAGAAGGGGACAGAGCGGGGAGTGAGTGTGTGAGCTGGAGGACACGTGGACTGGCGTGCAGGGTGGGCAGGCGCTAGATGGCTGGACAGACGGCCCACAGCGGGTGGGAAGTGGCCGGGCAGACAGCTGGTCAGCTGCGACGGGAGGTGGCCAAGGAAACAGCCAGCTGGCAGGAGGCCGACAGGAGCCCGCCGGTAATCGCCGCCATGGGGGATTTGGGTACAGGCTGGAGGATGAGTGACGGACGGGGGTCCCACAGACACGGATAGACGGGGGGTGGGCACTGCGAGGACTCCGACGGCCGGCCTGCCATCGTCGTCGGCCTCCAGAACATCAGCTTACCCCGCC